TATATGCGGATTCACTCTTTTGCGATGAGCATATTTAGACCTACAATTCGTTATACGCAAGGTAAATTCACTCTTATGTGATCAGCATAGATGCACCCCCCTGCCTAAGCAGCTAAGTCTGTGGGGGGAGGGGAAAGAGCCCTGGCCCCACTCACCCCAGCCCCGGCTGCAGCAGCCCCAGCAGCAGCCAGTGCCAGCAGCCACTGGGCTGCACCATGCTCTACCTGTCCCCCCGCACCTGGGCTCACCACAGCTCCTGGGCTGCGCCATGCCATGGTGCAGGCAGTTGGTGTTGGCTGCTCCTGGAGCCAGTGCAGCCAGGGCGGGGAGGGGAAAGAGCCCTGGCCCCACTCACCCCAGCCCCGGCTGCAGCAGCCCCAGCAGCAGCCAGTGCCAGCAGCCACTGGGCTGCACCATGCTCTACCTGTCCCCCCGCACCTGGGCTCACCACAGCTCCTGGGCTGCGCCATGCCATGGTGCAGGCAGTTGGTGTTGGCTGCTCCTGGAGCCAGTGCAGCCAGGGCTGGGGTGACTGCAGACAAGCAGAGCCCCAGGTGGCGTAGGGCGCAGCACTCACCCCAGCCCCAGCTGCAGCGGATCCAGGAGCAGCTGACACCAGCTGCCTGCACCAGGGCGCGGCGCAACCCAGGAGCAGAGGTGAGTGGGGGCAGGTGGAGTATGGTGCAGCCCAGCAGCTGCAGGCAGCTGGCGCTGGCCCCTCCCGGGGCCACTGCAGCCAGGACTGGGGTGAGTGTCACTGTGTTCCCTCTGCTCTGCTGCCCTGTGATGCCCCAGGAGTGGCACCCTTCCTCCCAGCTCTTCCCTAGTCCCAGCCTCACTCCCTCCCTACCTCGCTCACCACCATGGGAACCTATCCCTATTTGTTACATTGTAAAGTGGGTTCGTTTTACACAAATTCGATTTATGCACCCCTCTCTGGGAACACATGTACTGCATAAATCGAGGGTAACCTGTATGTAGCTCTACCATTGCTAAAAATGCTTTCTCCCATACAGCCAAGGCACAAAAATAGCCCTGCTTTTCCTACCACTTGAAACAAGGCTAATGTTATAAGAATGAGGTCATGAAAATACCCACAATAATTCATAGAAACATCCTGGTGATATTAAAAAAAGTAATAAGACAATACTACAGGTCCATATTGAGAATTTTAAAATGTAAAGACAAAGGCAAAACAGCCACAGTAGCAGCAGCAATAATCCAGTGCATTCACTGCATCTTTATCTGTGGATCACAGAGTATCTTACAAGGCTCAGTAGTATTATTCCCATTTTACAGGCAGGTAACTAATGCACAGGAAAACTAAGTTACAGCTATTTTTCAGCAGTGTTAAGCAGATTTCCTGACACTCAAACCCTGTTCTAGCTACTCTGTGTGCCACCTGCTTGTACATATCTAGAACAGACAGAAAATGTTTAAAAAACCAGAATGCTAGAAAGGCAAATGAGGAGCAGCTATGTTAAAATATCTAGCTGAAACAAAACAGAATACTGGCAACTGAAGCATACAGACCAATTTAAACATAAAATTACCTCTATAGATGCACAAATGCCCACTTAATATTACTGCACAAAAGAGACTCTAATAAAACAAATTTAATTTCTACTATCATCAGGCAGCAAGAGGGATAGTGGGAGAAAATCAAGACATGCTCTTTGAAAGAACTGAAAGATTAAATCTACAGTGTCAAAAAAATTCTATGGGTAAGTGACATCAGTAGAATATGACCTACAGCTTTTCAGATACACTGTGTAGAATGATGGCAAATCATAAGGTTGGGCCCTTTCTGAAGGCTAAAATCTTTTTATGATGCTTCATAGCTCTTGCAAACATAATGGTGATAACATTACATAAAAAAGCAGGAGGCCACTTCTGAATTTATAGCATAGGTGACTTTACTAATAAGTTTGACTGTAGTTGGACTGCATAAACTCTAATGTTTTTTCTCAAAACAAACATAAGCTCTCATTAATTGTAGGCTGTTCGGCAAACATCATAATTAGGAATTTACATCATCTAACAGTATTACTGTTTCTTATAACATAGGCTGTAGATGTCAGATCTGTGCCAGTTTTCAAGGAAAAATATCAGTTAAGTGTTTTTATTAAAGATTAATTGTATGTCCTTTACTTCACTTCATAAGCTATCTACTGATAAAGGCTAATTGGAAAACTGCCTTTAAAGTCTTTTATCTGTGATGTAAAACATATGGTTTGTACACTTACCAGAAGAAAATGCATTGATGTCTCACAAAAATGCCCTCTGCCCAGACCTTGGCCATAGTCATCTGAAATCAGTCAAATGCCCAATCAAATGTTCAACTCCTTCCCCCCTCCCTCCCACTCTCCCCTCACTCCCTTGCTCTCTGACAACAATCTCACTTTTAGCTAAATTCAGAGCTGTATCTAAATTACTGGAAGGGAGTATAAGATGCTGTTATTTACCTTCTGCTACTCCACACCATCCTACTCCCTAAACTCACAAATGACACTGTCTTAGACCCATGTAATCAAAATTCAGAGATGGCAGATAAGGCAATGCAAATAAATGGAGCGCAAATCAAAGAAGAACATGACTGGCTCAGACTCTCCATTACTTTTAAACCTGTATAATCAATTGGAACTGTGCAAAGTGGGTGCTAAACACTGCCACCGATTTGAGGGAGTTAGGCATTCAGGTCTGGTTCAGAGTTCACATGCACTAGACACAGATGTAAATTTGTACATAAGGTGCACGGTAGCGAGGAAATCGAGCTCACACAGATTTGGAGCAGCTTACAAAGTTCTGCTGGCTTAATTACATTGTCTTGAAGTATGAAAAGATTCAGCCTAGAGTTATCCTGGCAAAACTCTTGGTGTGGAAGCAGCATTGCCGTAAGGAAGTTTTTGCTTTTCAGGAAAACTGGTACAGCTCTGGAGGCCAAAAATCTCCTTTAGCCCACAGAACTGTCCACCTGGGGCCCTGCTGCTGTAAGTAACACAGCAACAGCCTCAAATTGTGTACTAAGACTGACTTAAAGGCTAGAAAGAGATGTCACTAAATGAAGTGGATTAGCTGTGCCAGGATGTTTCCCTGCATAGCTGTTCCCTTTCAGTGGGCAAAACACATCACCTGTCATCCCCCTGTTGTTCTACAGCATCAACAGGCAACACATTCTCCTGGGCGTGAGAGGTCTGGTCCTGTATGCCCCAAAAATTCCAGTGTAGGATTGGCTCCTTCAAGCCCGGAGAGTGCCTGCCCAGCTTTCCCTGATATATGTCCCTAAGCTGTTTTGCTAGGGATTTCTTGAAGGTGCATCTCTACATGGGAAAAGCCATGCAGGTGCTCCCAGGGCTTGAGGGGCCCGACACTGAACAGGATTTCCCAGGATGTACAGGATCAGGGCCCCTTAAGCCCCCAGAACTGTGTCTCAGGGCAGCAAGAGACTGCAGGTAGCTCTGGGTTGCCCACACTCTCCCACCACAAAACAAACAGATATATACCTCTGCCCCAAATCTGGGGCATTTGTGGAGCAACACGGGGCATGGATGTCTGTTTGCTTGGTCTTTTTGCCACCATGAGAATATTTATGGAGGCACAAAGGCAACGTCTGTTTCCACCCAAGACAAATTATATTCTTCTATCAGGGAAGGATGCTGCCTCTTAACCACTCACCACCATCCATATTGCAGCTGGAGAAACTGAGTTATCAGGCTGATAAACAGCCTGCCCAATACTGTACAGGAAATCTGTAGCACACTCCACACCAACATGCTCTGACTCTCATAAAATTGAGAACCCTGTTACCAACTGTACTGGTAGCTAGCAAAATATCACAAAGTGCGTTATTTATAAAACAGAAGCAGGCCAGTACAAAATGACAGTTCTTTAATAAAAATAAGAATAAATCTACCTGAGAGAATGCCTATGAGGAACTGGTAATGAAACAGAGCCCTAGACCCCTGGATCAAATTCAGCTCCTTCTGTAGTTGTCTCACAGCTTGGTAGGCTGTGTGAAATGGAATGGCAGCCTTGACTCTAGTCTCTGTTGTTCAAGTGTCCAAACCCTAGTTAGTCCCTTTGTTTGAAGCCTCAGCTTCAAGCAGCAACAGAAGCCAAAATATCTGAAATAACAAGTGCCCTGATCCAGTAGGGTTTAGCAATATGAGGGATGCAAAAAGAGTGCATGAATGTTCTTGTGCTATACTACAGCACTTTGGTCCCCAAAGCTGCCAGCAGTAGCTCTTGAGAATTATATACCATACTTTAAAGTTAACTAAAATCTATTCCCTTACAGCACATATTTTAATTGTTCTCTCTTTTTGGAGTAACTAAGCAGAACAATCTATTGATTTTTATTTAACTTGGAGATTAAAACATAAAAGAACTGCTGTGTTCTATTTATTTGTCTTTGCACTTTGATTATATAAAAAAGAAGATATCTTGTAAACTAAGGCAGAAAACAAAGCAAACTCCTTCAATCTGGTGATTTAAAGAGTCTGTACTGTGTTGGAAAATTAAAGCCCATTACTAGTTTATACTTTGTAGATAAGTATAAAAAAATGTGCATTATTGTTACAGGTCTCAGATTAGCTGCATTATCCACTATCTGTATGTACATGGGAATATAACTGTTAAAGCAAACATTTTTTGGCAACATTTAATCCAATAAATGATTAGAGTAAAAATTGTTAAGAGATGCAAACTGGACCATCCTCACAATGTGTCAGGCACAGAGTTTGTTTGTTTGCTTTTTTTCATGACAACACATTCCAAAATATAAAGCACATTTCAACTTGTTATTCTCCGAGTTGTCTGCCAAACTGCAGATGGATTGTAAACACGAAGAACATGTTAAGCTTATTCAAGTCTACAAAAAATATCCAAGTCTTGCACAGTAAACATTAGCAATGACATTGCTATAATTCCCTGATCTAGGTCAAAGCTCAGCAGGAAATCTCTTTGTCTATTTTTATCCCTTTTCAAGGGAAGTGCTTTACCTTTCTGTTTTCTTGATCAGCACAGCCCTGAAGATTTGTTCCTGGGGAGTCCTTTCTTTTTCATCAGTTGGCTGCACGAAAGGGTGGACAGCAGCCAAGATGAAGCCCTGCTGATACAGCTCTTGCAGCTGAGCTGGAAGATCACGCAAGGAAGAAAGCTTGATTGCAGATGATCCTGGTAGCTCAGCTGGAAACAAAGAATAAATTGATCGATAATTCTACACTAAACTATCACATTTTGCATTTTCTGTTCTATGGAGGTAAGCATGCTTCACACTGACCTTCAGAATTGGAGCATATTTCCATGTAGTTAACTGTGGCTTAGTTTGTATTACAAACTTCTAAATAGACTGCCTTGCAAAGGGCATTTACTGTATAAATGGCTAGTCCAATTAAGCATACAGGATCAGATTCACATTACTATAACAAGTTTGTCATCTTTTGGGGACAGAAGGGTAGAGGAGAGGGGAAAAGAGTAAGGATGTAGAGAAAGGGAGGATTTATCAAGCATGTAGCAGGAGGGCAACATTCTAAGGTGCAGGGAGGTACCATTCAATCCCTCCCTGATGACTGGAATCAATAGTGAAAATATAACACCACAAACAAGGAGGAAGCCCATGAAAATAAAAGTCAGAAAATTAAAACAATGATAAGAGGAGGCACTCATTCACACGCTTTAGATGACATAAATCACTGGCCTCTACAACATGCCGTGGCAAACACCTAACAAGATTTAAAAATATGACTTGGTATTTACCATAACACAGGTGATGATTAAAAAAAATTTGGAATGCACATTGGACCTCACACTTCAGGGCTAAAATAAATCTTTAATTGTTAAACAGATGGATAAGACTTAATGGGCATTTATACACATGTTCTGGGAGGTGGTGGGGGGCAGGGGTTCAATTAGAGTGGCTCCAAGAGCTGCTCTAAATAAAGCGCCCTGAGCGTCACATATATCAGCATCCCCATGCTGAAAAATGGTAGCGAGGGTTGCTTTAACTAAAGCTCATCGAACATCAAAGTGCCCCTACCACCATTTTTCAGCACAGGGATGCTGATACACATGACGCTGGTGTCTGTTGGAGCACAGTAATGATCACACTCCGGAAGACTCAATGTAATTATAGTGCATTGGAGCAGCCTCAATGTACATGTATAGCTGCCCAGTATGTCAGACCATTCCTACTCCCCACCCCACTCTACCTATTGTGGTTTCTTAGATCTTCCTATGAAGCATCTGGTACTAGCTACATGTCACTGGACTAGATGGACTGTAAATCCAACCCAGTTTATCAATTTCCACCTTCTCCCAGCAGCCCTGTAGACTTCAGAGAAGAACCCGTAAGTCATTCTAAAACAGCCTTCCTTTGGTCCCCTATCATCATGACTCTCCATATCTATTCAGTTTTATCTAAAAGCACAGCTTCCCTCCCAGTCCTCTGGCTCTTAAATCCACTCTCCTATGGCTATCGTTTATTATTTTTTATTCTTATAGTTAAAAGCCAAATCTTGTGCAATGAGGTACCAAATACTCAGCTCCAACTGGAATAGATGGGAATTGAGCGTGCTCAACAGTACATAGGTTTTCAGATCCTTGGACCCTTTGCTTTGAAGGGCTAGAACATAATTTACATGAAAAATATTGACTATAAAAAATAAAAGTTTTATAATACTGCATTTCCTAACAAATAGTGTGGCTACTTTTATAATACTGCATTTCCTAACAAATAGTGAGACTAACCCTTTACAAATAATTAGATTTTCAAAAAAGAATACATATTCAAATCCAATACTACTAGGGAGTAATTTAAATAATAATAGCGTAACTGTGCCTTATACGTCTGTTATAGTTTTACTTAACATATGAGAATATGTTCCAGTAGAAGGTAATGGAGCTTTTGATTGAAAACTATAAAAGACAGCATTTTTTTATTACTACTGCTATTATAAGAAATAAAGTAAGGAATAAGAAATGAACATGTTGACAGACAAAAGAATTCTGAGTTCTCTTGTAACACACATATCACTTGATAGGTATAAAGGAAATAACCCATAAATAGTGTATACAGAATAAATATCAATAATCAAACAAGCTGTTAATTATATTGACCGTACTAGGGATCAAACTGGCGGGAAAAATTCCCCTCAAGCTACAAACTCTGTCCTGCTTACAAAACCTGTCCTGCCTCATCTAGTGGTTATGGGCTGCAAGCCCTAGCATACTCTAAGAATAACAAATAAAAGAAAACTTGAGACTGGAACGTGCTTCTTAACAGTGATATCCGTGCCTTAAGCATCAACCTGGAATGTTCTGAGCATGCCCTTATTAAAAAAAAATTGTTTGGATACCTGGTGGAAATTCTGTACATTCATGTTAGATAGTTGCCCATTTCTTTGCACAAGCTAAATAAATGGAAAAATATCCCAACATGTAGTATATATTGATACTACAAGGCAAACACTTGCAGCATCTTTAGGATAGACAAAAATAATACTAACAAAAAGGATGATCAGACCTGATCCAATTCCAATTAAAATGATAAGATACTACCAGTTAACTAGCAACAGTTAGATTACAACCATATAGCACTTTCCCTCTAGAGAGCTCAAATCAGTCTTTGGAAAGAAAGACCCATTATCCCCCATTTAAAGATGAGGAGATGGAAGCTGTGCAGAAAACAGAGTTGTCCATGGTCACACAGCAGGTCAGCAGCAAAGGAAACCTTTTCACAATGCCAGTCTTTATCATAATTACATGTGATGAGTCCAGGCTTCTGGCCAAAGACCTTGAGCAGCTTTTTCTTTCCTATATAGCCCTGTAGTCTTAAATCTGACCATAGCTCTAATATTTTATTTAAAATTCTGCTCCACATTTCCTTATTTTATAATTACATTCACATCCAATGGTTTCTCTGTTTAATTCTGTCTGGGTTTAGAGAAGCATAAGAAAAGCTTGCAAATGATAGATGTTGCACTATTCAATTTTGCTAATGTTAAAAGCATAACTAGAAGTGTCGGGTGTTTCCAGAACTGATTCCTCAGCAAATTAGTTTGCTGCTTGACTGATAACTGAAGCTGTAAGTATCAGTATTTCCAGAAATACTCATTACAAACAGAATCAACTGTAGCTTATAGATCCTATGGGAGAATAAAAACATTCCCCCCATGAAACAACTGGTATCCATAACAGCTATGTGAATTTCTCAGGGTCTACATGTTTGGGGTTATTCCATAAGTTTTATATTGATAAGAGATAAGAATAGGGGAAAACCTCTGTCCTGGGGAGGGAGGGGAGGCAGGGTGACTTAAAAATTCAATAAGGTGAATCTTGCAAAATTGAAAAGGACTGTCCCTACAGATTCCAGGGCCAATCTGGGAGACAGTGAAGAGTAAGTGCACTGGTTCTTAGCTGCTGTTCTAGTGGACTCCTGTTTCCAAGATGGCATAACTTCCTGAAACATGAACAACTTGGGCTCCCGGTGGCTGGGGAGGCACGGCAGTGGTGGGAGCAAGGGTCGGCAAGCACCCACAGCTGCTGCTGGCAGTGTCAGCAGTGGCCAGCAGGGATTGCGGACTGCCCACAGGCACCACCAACAGTGTTGGCGATGCCTTTTTGTAGGGGGTGCACGGCCATGCTCAGGGGGTACACATGCACCCGCGTGCACCTCCTACACATTGCCCCTGTTTCTGAGTGTCACAAAAATAAGCCAGCCCTTAACGTAAGAGATGGTATTGTACAGGCTCATACCAAAGGGGCCTGAGGAAACAATATTAAAGCCAAAAGATTTTTACAATTTGAAGAGAAACCAGAGTTAGCAAGTGTTAAAACCAGTATATGGAAAGTAAGAAACCTCTGGGTTTTTAAGGGGTTGGCTTTTGCTGAAAGA